GTCTCTCAAACTTGATGAAGTGCATAGGTGTATATTCTTGCCTTGCTGGTTATCGTAGTAGGAAATGGACAAAAAAAGGAAAAATAAAAAAAAATGCTGCCCAAGATTATGCACTGCCTTAACTGGATATTAGTAAGATTAGTCACGTGAATGTAAAACGGGTGATCTTTAATTTGCATCTTGAGAAGGCTGTGCTGGAGCAAACTGACCAACCTCGCTTTATATTGCAGATAAAAGTTACATTAAATAAATAAGCAGCAATATTAGATACAGTTGAATCTTTTCGACATCTCTTCATGACTCATATAACATCACAGTGTGTTAAGTTTCTTTTGTTTTGTGCCATATTGTCATGATTTTTTAGAGAACATCTTAAAACCAGTTTCTGACAAAAAGAGGCAAACTGATGGGTCTTAAATAAAAATGATATCTGAAGAAATGGGTTCCAAACAAGCAACTATCTGTAACATTAACAAATTAGAATTTTTTTCTCTAAAATACTAAATAGACAAAATATTATTGAAGCTAATGAAGTATGTAAGTACATTTATTGCTGCTACTGATTCTTACCTACATTTCCACAGAAATGACCTCCATACGTGAATATGGTAAATAAAATAATTCCTGCAAAAATATCTAGCAGTTAGTAAGAAACAACTTGCAATATTTTAGACTTCTTTCCAACAAATGTTACAGTCAATAATATAAAGAATTGTAGTTAAAACAAGCATCACTTTATGTTTAGTACTAAATTCATTTCTATAAGCAAACTGTTTACAGGTGCCTATCTGATGAAGACAACAGAAAGCTAATATAACAAAGAAACATTTTTGCATTTTTAAGTGTTTGATTAATCTCAAATAATTTTATAAAAAATATAAAAAAAAAAAAAATTCAAAGCAAACCAATAACTATGTTTCTAATATAAAATTATAATAAACAAATTTCAAAAATCTTTAAATAAGCAGCTTATGAAAAACTTGACTGGCAAGATTCTTTTGACTTGTTAATGAGAAAAAAAAATAAACTAGACGAAGCATTCCAATGTAAACAATATTAAAATTAGTTCACATATTTAATTCTCTATAAAAAAGAAAATGAAAATAACAAGGCTTTTCACAATAATAACAAGATTTATACAATGGAGATAGCTTAACCTGAGTAGAATATCATTATTATATAATGGGGTTCAACAAACTAGAAATTAGATTGCCAATTTGTTATATACAATTTTAGTAGTTTTTATTTTCATTTACAAAATCATCTTAACAAATATCAATTTTTTTCATTGACAAGTACCACATAATCAAAACTAATTATGTGTACAGACACACACAGACTAAATCCTATCATGCATTCTGACAATATTCAGTATTATTCATATTTACTACATTTTCATCACTTTCCAGGATTCCTATAGAAAATAAATCATTATATGAAAAGTAGGTCACATACCCACAGTGCCATAAGCTAGTCTGTTTTAGATTAAATTGAAACTTGATAGTTTTCTAATTGCAAATGAGAAAAAGTATCAGATCTTTGAATTACATGTATTTAATATTTTAATGTTAAATTTTTTAATTCCTAACAGTGTTCTTTTCTCCAATTCAGCCATTGGTACATTAAAAAAAAAAAAAAAAAAAAAAAAAGGAATTATGAATATATTGTTGTGAAATTAATAGACAGTGAAATTAGTCAAAATAAGCATACCATACATAAGAAACAGATTGCATTGAGGCTGAATTTGAAGTTCTCAAATTCAAGTTTTTCTGAAGAAAAATTAAAAACCAAAACCAAAAGTTAATTATACTGAATAGCCAGTAATCATTTCATCAATCACCTTAAAAAGTCAATTTTCAAGATGTGCATAAAAATAAAGTGGGAAAATAACTCCTGTAGTTCTGATCTCAACATCAAAACATATTTAGCTCTGGTAAAGTACTATTTTTAAATTGTATGGGAAAATAAACAAATTTATGTTAATTTTTTTTCTGAATATTGTGTTTTTTTTTTTAAACTAGTGAATTTGGAGAAAAAAGAAGAATGACATGTATCTGCTTTTAGTTTTTGCACGTCTGATGATGGCTAAAAGCTGAACCAAAGAGGGGAAAAAAAAAATCTGCAAACAATAATGTCACATAATTTGGCATTTCACTGAACAACACATCAATCAATACTGGCCCTAAATAATTACAATTAAGATATTTTTTTGTATAATATATAACTTAAGGAATGTAGACGTGTGTGTGTGTGTGTGTGTGTGTATATATATATGTGCAAAAAAGAAAACTTCTTTACCAATAAGGTTCGTCCTCCGATTCACTTTATCAAGGCAAATGTAAGGATTATATAACACAATGTAAATGGGGAGAATGAGTTTTTGGCAAATTTTCTTAGAAAATCAGGATAGCTTCAATCAATGAATATAACTGCCTGTGGTAACATGTCAGGAGTTTATTTTTTTTTCTTTTAAGTGTTGGAACCAAAGCTGAATTTGATATTTGTTAATCACAGAATTTGTGATAATTGATAAAAATGGATAGAGTTGTAATTGAAAGTGGGCACTTTTATAGCAAGCAAGTTTTAAAAGCCCATCAGTTGTTTTGATGCTCGGAGTAGAAAAGTAAACTGAAGATAAAAACAGAAAGACAAAAAAAAAAAAAAAAATCAAAACATTGCTTATCAATTCATAAATCAACAACTGTCAGTAGAAAAATTGTAGCAAATAAAAAAAAAACTACTAAAAGTGATAACAATCTCAAAAAAATGTTTATCAAAGGAGGGATGAACAGATGCAAGAAGATACCAGCAATAAATGCCTTTTTTTTTTAGTTTAACCGGTTAGGCTGGTAGAAGTTCACACCTAATTGATATACAAAATGAGAGACAAATTCAAAATAATAGAATCACTTTTTATAAAAAGCAAGGCTATGATGAAAGAGATGACAAGCAGGTTGGTTTATGCTACAAAATAAAAACAATTCAGTTGAAGAAGCGTAAATACAAGTCAAGATCCAAAACAAACATGAAAAGCAGACATTTTTGTTGGCTCTCTGGTCAACAACCCAATGTACCATACTGTCATAAAAAGGTATCTAGTTGAATTTTAATCACCCACCTACAAAAAGCCATTCTTTCAACTTTCCTGGGTATATTCCATTTAAGCACGTTTCAAATAGGTTTTGATAGTTTGTTTACTTGTATGGATAAAACAAGACACTTATTGATATAACAATTGAAATTTTGTTTTAATGCAATGTATCTTTAGGATGTAGGCGATTATGGCTCCACAGATTCCCTTTCTTTTATTATATGCGAATTGTAATAACTTCTTGAGAAAGAGAGTGGTTTCCTGTTGCCTTCTTCATGTAGAAGTGAAGTGCATTCTTCAAAAAACCTGATTCTAATTTTCATAAATTAGAGACAATTTTCTCTCCCTTTTTCAATAAAACAAAGAAAGATTATTATTTTAAATGTACATATACCATGAATTGAAGGGGGCTATTATCTTCATTTTTTAGGAAATTTCTGAACGTAATGAAAAATAAATTATGAAATTATATTTCTGAAAATTAGGTTTATTTTGGTGAATATTAAAGAAATTAAACTCGTTGTTTAAAATTAACGATTGATGGTTAAATTGCTATGAATTACAAGGAAATTTTACATAAAAACATTTTTTATAATACAAGATTATATTGAAAAAACAAAATAATGGTTAAAAATATTCACCAATCTAAACCTAAAAATTCTGATCAACTAAAAAATAACATCGACTAAACCGTAGCACAATGACAGAAAAAGACAAGTAAGCAACAGACCAGAAGATGTCTAAGTTGAACAAGGTTAGAAAGAGTTGTCTCGAAAGAGTGGAAAGGCAGAGTTTATCATAGCAATATAGCATTATTGATCGCTTTCACACACAAAATTATGAAAAGAAAACAAACAAACATTTGACATGTATATCGACTAAAATATAAACATAGAAGAAAACGAAGAAAAATAAAAGTACATTCAAACTCTGCATCGCTTAAACAACACGAATGAAGAATTTGCTGCTAGTAAAATAGTAAATAAATAAAAAAAAATGGTGTAATGTTTATAATTAAAACCCACGCAATGCTCACTAATGGTAGTCACATTTCAATGTAAAGAAAGAGAGTGTAAGAGAGAGTGAGGGGGGGGAGACCGGTGCACGAGTACCGAGTTTCAACAATACGCACGTCAGTGGTGCAGTGTTGTTCTTCCTTATGAGACTTGATTTAAATTACGAAAGTCATACAGAGAGGGGAGAGAGAGAGAAGAGGGGGAGGTACAGAGAGAAATAAAGGCAAAGTAAAGATACTGAATGACTGGCTCACTGTTATGAGCGAGAGAGGAGAGGGTGAAAAAGGAATTACATCAACATGTTACGAGAATAAATTACTTGTTTTAGTTTTGTTTGTTATTATGAATTAATAAGCAAGCAAGAAAAATAAAATCACTTTTAATGATTGTTAAATCGAGAGTTTATTGACTGAAAGTTTTTAACGAAATCATACTTTCAAAGAATAATTATAAAAAATATTTTTTTTTTGGTTTCCTAATAATGAGAGTTAATGAAAGAAAGAAAATAAAAGCTCAATTGACCTGATTGATAATGGATGGAGAAAAAGACAATATATGGGATTTGTACAAAAATGTTAAATAAAAACACGATCAGTAAATTTGCACCGAGAACAAAGGTCATTCATTACATTTTTAGAAAAGATATTTCGCTCCCATGTGGCCTTCTTAACTTACAAGAACTCGAAGCAAATGGAATATTTTTAATTTTTTAGTGGTATCCAAAAAGGAGAAAATGGGTCAATTACTCTCTCACTAATTATGATAGGTATCTTTGTTGTTAAAAAAAAAAATAAGGGATTTTTTGTGTCATCTGCCGATGAGGTAGCACCTACCAACCTACCTATTTGCAACAATCGAAGAGGAGAATAGCCAAAGATAGACATTTGTTTTACCTGTAATCAGAGGATATTGCAGTAGCAACACGGCTGGCCCAGGTATGAAAATCCTTGTCGGCCGAACCAATACTGTCAGAGAGAAAATAAGTAAAAAGAAAAAAAGTGACTAGGGCAAGGCTTGCATGGGACTAAAAAGGCTGCTGGTTGCAGTAATAATCGTAGGAGTAGTTACTACATTTAGTCTGTAGTAATAGTAGCAGGAGGAGTAATAAAATAAACAATCTGGAGTCGTTGTTGTTGTAGTTGTGGCAGTAGTAAAACTGTAGGGCGGGAATAGAGTGAAGTATAGTAGCAATAATAATAACAAAAATAGTCTGAGGGTGGTAAGAGCAAGGAGTACAATGTTGTAGTTGTGACAAAAGGGTAATGTGAGAGGAGGAGGAGGAGAAGTAAAAGGAGTGGCAATAGAAGTAGTAGTGACGTCGCGTTGAGAGGAAGAGATGTACAACGTGGTGGGAGGAAATAATGGAGTAATATATACAACACTACTTGGCCAGACAGACAGAAAGAAAGAGATGGAGCCATTCTCAATATTAAAGTGTCAATTTTATGTGATCGTTTAAAAGTAAAACTAGCTTGTCTATTTCAAAATCATTTCTTTCATTTTTTTTTATATGGTAACTATGCAATATGATTATTAGATGAAACCATTGGAGTTGTCAACATAAAAGTGTAGTTTTTTTTTTGTTTTTTTTAAATTTTAAATTAAATTCCACTGTATTTTTTTTTAAATTTGGATCGTAGTTTTCTTAAATTATTTTTAAATAAATACAAAGCAAATAATTTTTTACTAAAAATATCAAATGGCATGTTTCTAATAATAACCGATTGTTTTAGAAAAAAAAAAAATGACAAATGTTTTTTTTTGTTTGTTTTTGTCTCTCTTCATGCAGAGAAAGAAAGGATAGGCAAATTTTAAAACATTCAAAATATGACTAAAAAATAAATAGTCAATTAGAGCTATTCTCTTGTTATAAACAAAAGGTAAGATGATAAAGAAAACAAAAAAACAACTTTTATTGCATGTTTTTCACTAGAGATAACGTTTTTTTTTGTTTTTTGTTTTAATAAAATAAAAAAAAAAAGAATTATATTTGTAATTGAAATCCAGGGAAGTGATTTAAACAAATAAATTTCGGTTGATCAATCAATACTATTTAAAAATATTAAAAAAAAAAATGAATTTTTTTCAAAATTGATTGAAATTTCACAGGAAAATCAAATGGATCACAATTGGAAAGCAAGGAACATGAGGTTATTGTAATAATGGTAATAATTGTTCTTTTATCAAAAAATGCCTGACAAATTGTACAAAAACGTTCTATTTTTTTTGAGAATGTATTTTTATTCCATCATAAAATAAACAAAATGTCATTGTTAACAATAACATTAACTAAAAATGTTGAATCAAATCCTCTACAAATAATGCACTATTTTAATGACAAAATTTAAACAATTTTGATGATTTTTTTTTTTTTAGATATAAGACTAAGTAAATAAATTATATAATTGAATTGTTACAAATTTTAACAACTTATTTGATTTGGAATTTTGATCATAAGTTTTTTAAACAGATTTCTTCATTAATAAACTTGATTTATGTTTAAAAACGTAAATTTTGTTTTCTCTATTACAAAGAAAGCAAAACATTTACAAATTTTCCTTAGAATTACATTAAAAATACTGAAAGAAAGCAAGATAAAAAAAAGAAAATAAGTAAAAAAAAAATTCACTTGTTTGATCAATAAAAGAGACTAACACATTTACTGATTATTGTTTACACTAATTTTGTGGAAATATTAAAACTATGCAAACTGACCTCTTTTAAAATATTTGAATGAAACCCAAAATAAGTTTTTAATATTCTGATCAGTCAAAAACGTATTTTCCTTTTTTACACTAAAAATGGATCAAAGAAAATACTGTGGATGGTGAGTTATAAACAAACTGAACTTATATCGAAATATTTCGATGCCGTGTAAAATAAACAACTTTAACGTGTTTACGTTATAAAATTCAAACATCGTGAGCAAATGTTTACTACAGGATTTTTTTTTTTTTAAATATTTTCTAGTAAAGTTTGTTCAAGCCAAACAGGACGGCAGCCATTTTCTACTATACGAAATAATAAAGTGTTCATCGTCTCAGCTTTTCGACTTTTAACGATAATTTTCCCCGAAAATAAATCAATGAACAGATAAACAGCGGAAAATAAGATAAAAAAGGATTTTTTGATTGAGAGGTAAAAGAAGTTAAAAATAACTGAATTAGATATGAAAATCCCATTCGTATCTTAATTTTGTTTTAAGAAACAAAGACAATCTTCCGGGAGTTTTTATCCCAAGAATTTTAAGAGAATATTGATACAGTGGAAAATAGTTACACAGTGAATAATTTAAGTTTGTAGTTTATGTTGTAATCATCAAGTTTTAGTCACAATCCAAGGGTAAAAGTAACGAATAAACTAGCATTTACCTAGAATTAAAATAAATAAATAAAAATGTTTTATTTTATTTTCATTTGAAAAATGATTCACATCCCAAGGGTAGACAACTGAAGTTTTTATTTTCAAGCTTCAAGGGGAACTGAATTTAATATTACTCACGATGTAACCAAAAATATACAACAGCATGAAAAATCCAAGAGAACAATTCCCAACTAATTCAGATTTCCTCTAAAATAAGCGAAAATTAGCAAGTCATTACAAAACAAACAAACAAGAAAAAAAAAAATAACACTGACTGCCAAATGCGGCTATGGAGGGAATCAACCAGCCCCCAAAATAGACGAGGGAAGTTGATATCTAGGTCAAACTTGTGACCATTATTAGACAGTATTAAAATATCGTAGGTAAAATTTAGGCCCATAGATACCCAAAATAATCCTTCTGCTAAAATGTTCACAATTTCTTAATCAAGCACAAAGGCAAAAACCATATCAAACTTACCTTTCATTAGGCGGTCGACCTGACATATTTTTCCCGGACGCACGAGTCCGCCATTATTTAATGACGTCAGGTTTCGTACAAGTAAAAACCAAAATCAAATTCAAACAAATAAATAATAAGAATTGAAAGTATTTTTAAAAAAAATAATATAATATTTTAAAATATAATAAATACAAAATCATTTAATATATGCTAGTTTTATTTTTGACAAAAGAGTAGGTTTGCTATATTCACTGCATACTTGACAACATTTTTTTAAAATTTGTTTTTACCATGGCGGACATGTACGGTGATAGTGATGTTGGCGTTGCTTATTACAGAAGTAAAGACCCACTTCGAAATTTCAAACTGCGGTCAGTCTGCAAAATACATTTTTGGAAAATTTTCCATAAATATTTGTTGGGTGGTACTTCTAATAAATTTATTCTTTGGATAAAATAGCTGACCTTTTTTCATTTTCCGATAACAACCAAAAACAAACAAACTGATAGTAAACACAAGTGCTTTTTTTATTTATTTTTCCTGGTATATTTATTTATTTCATAATTAAATTAATTTAATTAATTTCAACATATTCTAGCTTTTATATTCGATCATTGAGGTGGCTATGTTTTATAATCTGTAAAGCAGCAGGAAAATCTTGTCGATCAAAAATTAAAAAGATAATTGAATTTAAAATTTATTAATTTGAAAAAGAAACTAGTCAATGAATGGGCCTTGTTACATTAATTACAAATATAAAAATAATTCAGTATATAAATAAAATTGCAATTTAAGATTTTTAAATTTCATTTTTCTTTTACTATTTAAAATTTACTATTCTAAAAATAAATTTTTTTTTTTAAAAACTTCATTTTTTTTTTTAATAGTCTCTTAAACTTTGGAAACTTAAAAATAATTCAATATTGGTATTATTATATTTGAACTCTGGCATATGTTGTAAATATCTCCACTTTTTTCATTTAAAACATTAATACTTTAAAAAAGTATTTTATTATAAAGTAGATTATTTTTTTCATTAATATTAAGCTATGAACTTGTTGATACATATGTCTTGTGTTGATTTGTTAAAAAAAACAAACTTTGCAACATTTTTGTATTATTTTATCCTATAAACTTAACAAAAAGCTTTCAGAAAGGTAATGATGATACCACATAGGGTCTGTACAATAGAAGCAAGTGGACATTTGTGATTTCTGAGCTCCCTAAGTGTTTTTAGCTCAATTATGACACTGTAATTAATGTTATTATTTGTACTTAAAGAGGAAGATGAAAACAAAATTTAAACATTTTTAATAAAAAAATAGGGGGTTAGATTTATCAACCCTGGTTTGCAGGGAAGAGTTAAAATCCCTGAAAAGAGCATAACATTTACATTTTTAACCCATTTAAACTTCAAGGGAGGATTTTCAGTACCAAAAATGGATTCTCACCCCAAAAACTGGAATAGATGTCTAGATCATGATTTTCTGATAAACCCAAACAAAACTATGTTGAAAACTGATATTTAGTGCTCAGCATATGGTGCCAAAAAGGAGTGATGATCAATTTAACATATGAAAGGAACTGAGTACATTTTAAATGTTTTCCTAAGGACAATTTCCTTATATTTTACAGATTTAAATTGTTTTAATATTTATGAATTTGCACTAAAATGGTGAATTGTCTTGGATAGTTTTTGTCAGCATTATTTGAAGTTGGGTGGAGGGTTAGAGACAAAATAACAGTTGGTTAACTTGATTTAATTTTGTGTTGTAAGGCTCCAAAATCCATTTGTTAATTTTATTTTTTTAAACTTTTCACCCCAAGCAAGGCAATAAAGCCACTAAGACACAAGGGTTACCAAGCATTAAGACAATATGAGAAAAAAAAACTCTTAGATGACAATAAAAGAACAGGTATTAAGAAGACAGAAGATAACAGTTGACATTGCATTTAAATTTTTGAAGATCAAAGTTGACTGGGAAGCAAGAAGGTGGATGAGAGTTCCACAAGCAAGAAGTGTAATAGAAGAAACTATTAGCATAAAACTTATAATTACATCTATTTCAACTGTAAAATGATGAAACCTTGCCACCAAACTAGTACTACATTTGAATTCATAAAGTCTAGCTACCATAGAGGAAAATTCATCAGAACTATTACCATGAAAGGTTATAGGTTATTTTTAAGCAAGAGTCTCAAGTTAAACCTGTCTGTCATTTTCAATAAAATTTCAATGATTTTCCTGAACTGACACTCTAAAATTAAATACTTAGAATATTGCTGCTACATATGGTCCAGTGCCCCTGCTATTTGCCTTAAGCTCCTTGATAAAATCCAAAGAAGAATCTGCAATATTATTGGTCCTGATCTGGTGACTCAGCTCCAGTCCCTTTCCCATCACTGTAAGATTACCTTTCTGTACCTTTTCTGTAAATACTTTCATGATAATTGTTTCAATGAGCTCTTTGCTATGGTACCTAGAGTTTTTGAATTTAAATACAGTACAACTGGCATCAAGATCTCATTAATTTACAGTTGAGCTGGCTTGATATAACCATAAATTCTATGCTAAGTTTCTTTTCTCACACTTCTCGCTTGTGGAACTCCCTTTTGGTTCCATACTTTCTAGCCAACTTTAATCTGCAAAAATTCAAATGCAATGTCAATTGCTATCTACTGTCCTCCTGACTTTCTACTCATCATTAATGTTTCTGTTCCTAATTCTTCCACACACTTAAACCACTTGTGTTTTAGTGGCATTACTGCCTGGCTTGGGGTAATTCCAATTTAAAAAAAAAAAAGTTATTAAAGATGTGCAAGTTTTGATTAACTTAAAATGATCGAAACTTGGTAAATACTTGGTGTTGGGACAAAGTCAGACCAGTTCTGAGATCCCAAGACTGTCTGCTTTCAGACTAAATGTTCCAAAAATGCCAAATTTCTGCTTGCAAGCCAGTTGTTGATAATGATGCAAAAGCAGCACCACCAGGCATGTTTCTCATAACTTTTTATCGTCATTGTTTGAAGATGTTAATCCGTATGTTTTGCCTCAGTGAATTAAGATTGGCTACAGTAAATGTCCCATTCAATACCACAAATTTGCTTGCCATTTGCTTGATCTTACCAGTTGGTCATGTCCCCTAGGGACAGGCATACTGTGCATATCTGCTCATGAGTGGGAGTAGTAGAGGAGCATTCTAGCCAAGTTGTTCTTTTTAGTTGGAAGGATGAGGCATTCAAAGTGACTTTGGAACACCCTCAATCACAGACCATCTGAGTGGAATGGTTTACCCAACCTAAATATGTTTCTTACTGGGCCTCACCTGCAAGGTTATGCTCTACTTTGTTATGATATTGTTCACATTTGGCTGTGATGCATGTGCCTGGTATACTGCTTGGTGTCATGGTGGATGTATCATGCTTTGTATATATGTACTTGAGTGTCACTTTGGTAGCATGATGCTCTCTCACTCAATAAATGAAACAGAATGATTCATATTAGAGAAACTAGGAAAGACTGGTGATTTATTCACAACAAATCGAGCACAAGGTAGTCATAATTGTTAAATAAGGTCAACCTCGCCTAAGAAAAAGTTAAAAAAGAGAACCTTTAATTAAAGGTTAAAGTTAGTATACTAGTGATTTTGAGCGGCTGATATACTGGACACTGTGTGGAAGTACATATACCCAGATGTCCAGTATATTGCCGAGTCATGGACAGCAGTAGCCCAGGAGAGAAGATCCATATTTCAGAGGGTCAGGGTTCATGATATGGTAGATGAGCTGCATGAATTAATTTTAGATATTTGTCCACTAAGTTTAACTGAGTTGAAGACGGTTCAGTGTAGATGATCTCCAAGAAAGGATCAGACTTAATATCCTCATGAATGACCAATTCCCTCCACATACCTGGGTTAAAAGTATTTAGTGACATGTAGCGTGTCTCAGGCAAGTAGACCTGTCAGAGCCTATCCCTCTCCAGTTCAAACTGCAGCTGATGTCCTCCAATGTGAAGGCTCGCCTTGGTCATGGACACATGGCCGTTGATTCCATTGAGGAAATAGCCATCCTGGCTGTTGACTTCAATCTCAGAAACTCTTTAGCCATCACTGTACTGGCTGCATGCATAGCTATGGAGCCTCATCTATCTCATTCTGCTAGATGGCTGGTGACCCATACAAGAAGACTAATCTACTCTTTAACAGGTCTTTTAATCCTGCTGGTTGTCTAGTCATCCTCTTCACCTGAAATGCCTGGTGAGCGAACCGGATCAGTTGCCAATGACCTGACCATTTGGTAGATAATATTGGGTTACATGGTACCAGCAGCACTTGTAGAGTGACCTGACATAAAATTTAGTTTAATGTCAGCATAATGTCAGTCAGTTATGCGCCATGCATGATACAGCTTAGGCAATCATATATCTTTCGATACATAACTGATGAGGCAGATTTTTTCCTGCAGAAGGTTGCTATTTCTTTCTGTGGTAGACCAATTGCCATCCAAGACTATAGAACCCGGTCTGTTCTGCTATTTACTCATAGTGATTGAAGAAGAGGATTAATACCTTTCCCAAGGGTACTAGCACATAAGTTTTAGATATTTCTTTTCTAAGCTCATCGTAGTTGACCAAATGGCCATCATTGAGTATATACATAAATTGCTAACTGTAGCTGGTATCCGGTGCAACACAGCTTATGAGCCTGAACAATAAAATAAAATATAGGCATAATTGCAGAAATAATAAAGATTTGTATTATAGAATAATTTATCAATAAACTTAATGTGCCCTCACATTTCCTTACTCTTGATCATACCTACCTTTTGTAACCCCCTTTTTATATAAAAATTGTTAGTAACAGAGAAAATTAATAATATTTTTCAAATTTGTATATTGGGATAGAAATTTTGGATAAACAGCCCCAAGAACATATTTATTCTGTTGTTTTGTTAAAGTACTTTCAATTATCTTCAGCATTTTCAAGAACCAGTTCATGTTTATATGGTAGGCAAGATTCTGTTGGCTTACATGCTGGTATTC